TGCGTTACCGTCCACTCGGCGGGGTCGCAGCTGCCTCTGCAAGGCACCGAGATGTACCTTTTTCGCGCAATGGTCAAAATCCCGGTTTTATCCGGCGTGGGGAAGGGCGAAATCGGGAAGCGCGGCGTGGGGAACTTGGCGCTCCGGGGGTCGCTGAGGGGCGGCGGGGGCGCTGAGGCGCGGCCGCGCCTCACCCGAGGGGGGGGGAGGGCCCCGTGAAGGGCCGATCGGCCCTCTCGCCACTCACCCGCCCCAGCCGGCCCCCCAGCCACCTCTCGCGCGCGCGCGATGGCAGCCGTGGGAGATGGCGTGGTAGCGGCGGTCGAGGCGGCGGTGATGGCAGCAGAGGGGAAAGGTCGTAACCGCCGCGCAATGGAGGACTGTTCAGCACTCACACCCAACCCTCCCGTTCGCAGGTCCAACCGAGCAAGGTGATGGCGCGCTACACGTCCCCCTTGGCGGAGGACCAGAGAGAGATTGGCCCTTCTTCGACGCCACTCAATTCGATCGCATCCGTCGCACCATTCTCAATCAAGGTCGGGGGCAAGGCCAACGGGAATGGCCCTCAGTCGACGAGGCCGAAGGCTCCATTATTGTGCCGCCCGCCACCTCCGACCGGCCCGCCGGCGGCGCCCACGCCGCCTCCTCCTGCGATCCGGCAGACACGCTGGAGACGGTGCTCGCAAATCTGTATGAGCTGTCCGGAGAGCACATCGACGCCGATGCGCTGCTGCTCGAGTCGGGGCTCGACTCGGTGGGCGCGGTCGAGCTGCTGGGGAACCAGTTGCAGCAGCCGACGGGCGAGGACCTTCCCGCCATCCTCGTCTTCGACCACCCGATCGCCCGCCAGCTTGCAGACTACTTTGCGAGCATCCACATGCAACTCCGTGTATGCTTGTATGCCTATGCTGTACGTGTATGCCTATGCGCTTGACCAAGGAGTTGCATGTGTAGCTAGTCTACTATGTTCTATGTAAGACTAGCTGAGGGGCTCGCTAAACGCTCGCCGAGCTCCATGCTGTGCAACACCACCTCCTCACTAATCGTCAGGGGCGCGGAGAGCGCAGTGCACTGCGGTGAGGCTGCGCCGCGGGGGCTCGCCCCCTGCACCGCGCTCTCAGAGCGGCGTAGGGGAGAGGGCGGTCGGTGGCGGCGGCGGCGAGGCGCGAGGCGGTGGCGGCGGTGGTGCGGGCGGCGGGATGACAGGGGAGGCGGCGGGATTGACAGGGGAGGCGGCGGCCACGAGCGGAGCGGCGCGAGAAGGGGGGGGGGCGGCGGCGAGGCGCCGGTGAGCGAGGCGCCCGCGCCATCAGAGGGACGCGCCGCTGCGAGATGGAGGGCGGCGGTGACGGAGGCGAGGCGCGAGGCGGCGGCGGCGGCGGCGGCGGCGGCGGCGGCGGCGGCGAGAACGGCGGCACCGAGTCTCGGTGAGCGGCGGCGGGAGGAGGAGCAGCGGCGGCGCTCGCTCGCTGTTGACGGGAGCGCTTTTGAGCCTGGGAGCCCATGCCACTGCGACCGGCGTGCCCGGGAACGGAGATCGCGCGCGCGCCGCCACTCACGACGCGCGCGCGATCTTCGCGGAGTCGGGTCCCCAGAGGGAAGCGGTCTTCTCGGCCGACGTCCAGCGGCGCGCAAGGAAGCAGGCGCAGCGGAGGCGGCCTAGCACCGGCTCGGCGCCGGGCGGTTGCGCTGCCCGCGAGCCGCGTCCTGAGCCTCGGCAGCGCGCTGCGCGGCGCGGCGCTCGCGCTGCTGCGGTGCCGAGAGCGGCATGATGGATCGCCAGCTGAAGCTCGAGACTCCTCGGGTCCGCGAGTTCTGGGGGTCACCGGGATAAACGGCGGACGACGCGAGGCCCTTATATCTTTAGATGGGATTCAATTTCTTCGGCGGCATCTTCGTGGTAGGGTCGATTCCGCATGGTACGGGACCCCTCGATCGTCTCGCCCTCCCTCACTGGTGTGTTCATTGGGGGGGGTCATAACAAACACGGTGCAGGATCGAGGTGCACGCTGCCAGAGCAGTGTCGTCCCCCCTCTCCCCGACGGCGATGGCGGTGTGACCGATCGAGCTACAAGAGGAGCTTGTTCAGCAGGATCCGGCAGGTGCTTGCCAGAACGAAGAGCCTTCATGTTAACATGGATGAAGGGCGACCGGGGCGGAGCGGACGATGAGATCTTGGGACAAGTGCTTGCCAACCTAACTGGCCGAGGTGTGTGAAGTGTGATGAGGCTGACGCCTAAAGGCAACAGCTACATCAAGGGCCAGAAAACCCCGAGAGTGGGCGAAAGAAGTTTGGCGGGCGTTTCCAGGAGATCTAATAGGAAGGCATGCATGTATGAGTGTGTATGGTAGGAAGGTGAAGAACAGTCAGTCGATTGTACAGTCAGGCTCGGACTGGACACCAACGCGGTATGGGTGGACGCGAGACAGATGACGACGACACGCTCGAGCGACACACAGACACACACAAGCGCACAAGACACTCAGCCAGGAGGTACACATCCCCTTGGACGTTGGTGCCCGAACCCTGGCAGCCATCGTGGAAGAGCTTGCTCTAGCGCCCTCTGGCCGCCTCTACTACTCCTCGCGCCAAGCGTGCAGTCAGGCGGACGACGCTTTTCGGGTGCGGCGTATCCCATATCTCGCGGACGGCACTGTCGACTTTGACAGCCTTTCGGCACTCGCGGCTCGAACGCAAGACGGCGTGGTCGATTCGCAAGAGGGCAGTCGCAGCCCGCCTTTGGTGGTACACCGCGAGTACAGGGCGGTGCTGGGCCCGTCGCTGCTTCTCGGGCGCGACCGGTTCGGTGGCGTCGACAATCGGCTCTCTTCTGCGCCCGACCGCGACAGCACGCTGCCGCTCGCACACGCACACGGGCCGCCGCTTCTCCCTGCGCGCTCCGGTGGCGTGCCGGAGCATGCGACGCTGGTCGAGGCGCTGAGGCACACAGCGGCCGCGTGTGGCGCCGACCGGGGCATCACATACGTGACGGGCGGTGCGGCGACGCACGAGAGCTACGCTGGCCTGCTGCGCGAGGCGCGCAGGCTGCACTGCGGGCTGCGGAGGCTGGGACTGCGGCCGCGTGAGCCGGTGGCGCTGCAGATTCTCGACAGCCGCATGCACATACGCGCGCTGTGGGCATGCGCCGTCGGCGGCCTGCCGTCGCTCACGGTCGCTGTGGCGCCGCAGCTAACGCCGTCC